CAATAAACATCACGATTTTTCTTGTTATTATTATTTATTTTATTTTATTCTAACATATTTTATTTTTCATGTTTTGTCATTTTTCTTCCTCCCTTTTGGTATTTATTTTCTCACTTTTTGTATTTATTTTGTTCTACTGTCTTGCATGTTGTTACAGTTTTTGCGTCTGTCAGATCCTGACTTTTAAAGAATAATAAATAAAAAAAAATATCTTGTTAACAACAAATACCTTGAAATCAATATGTACAACGTTGAAATGTAATTTAAAATTATCGAAAACAACAGTGGCCAATCTGGTGGGCGTTGTAAGGGGTGTTTTAATTAATGTCAGCAAAAGGCCGTTTGATGTGGAAAATCGACCAAAAATTGAACGTGATAAGCATAATAAAGGTTTGCCCCTTGGCCCCCCCTGTGAAAATTATGTCTTCCTGTGAAAACTTAAACATTTTCAAATTTTTGCCCCCTCGCCAAAGTTGTTTCGATCCTCCACTGGACAACATCACACGGCTGACGTCATAATCCTTCGCGTCATCATCACCCCCTCGTTATCATACTACATCATTTCCTCCCTTAGTCATCACCCACCACCAACATCATCGTCGTGTCGTCATCATTCATAACATTCATAATCATCACAATCACCATCATCATAATCATCACCATCATCATCGCAATCAGCAAACAGCTAACAGTGGACATTTTATTTTCAGCTCCTGAAGCAATGATTTCATGCAAGTGACATGCGGGCAACATGCAACAAAATGCCCGTGATCACAACACACCCGCACAAACACATACAAACATATAAACATCCGACTCATACCAATATACATATCATACATACCACAAATACAAACATACAAAACAAATACAATTACAAACATACAACAAATACAAACAAGCAAAAATGCAACAAATACGAGCATGCAACCAATATACAAACGCAATCAATGCAACGAACTCAAACTTGCAGACATGCAACAAATACAAATATAAAAATATAAAATAAATAAAAATATACAAACATATAACAAATACAAACATACAAACATGCAAACATACAAGCATGCAACAAATACAAAGATGCATGTACTTAACTTAAAAACTTAAAAAGTAGAACACAAACATGTAACAACAAATCATAAACAAACACGAATGTAATATGAACATACAACAATGCATCATATACAAATTACAAAAGCAAACGGGCCTGCATAGGTGTACACGCACGCAACGCACACACACACACATACGCACACACACACACATACACGCACACACACACACACGCACACACACACACACACACTAAGAATTAAGTAGTAGTAACAAATACAAGCAGTATACTTGCACAAGTAATAACTACTCACACACACACACATTCATAAGTGCTACACACACACACAAACACGGCACTCATCCAGTTATACATAAAAACACACACACATGCATAAGTACATGCATGCGTGCACGCACACAAGTACACGCAGTTGAGATCTTATCGATTTAATAACGCGAGATTGTATGGAGACTGCATGAAGGTCGAAGCTCCAGGCTCATGTCTGAAAGACAGCCAAACGCATGAACAATCACGTACACATAGAATTGCACGCTTATAAGTATACAGTCACGCATGCACAATCACGCACACATACATACAAACACACACACATACATTCAAACACACACACACACACAATATCAAAAACGTACATTCATCCAATCAGTCAAACAAACAATTATAAGCACAAGTGCGATGCAGTTACATTAAAAAGATTCCAGCTATCCAACCGACCGACTGACTGACTGACTGACTGACTGACCAACCAACCAACCAGCCAGCCAGCCAGCCAGCCAGCCAGCCAGCCAGCCAGCCAGTTAGCCAGCCAGCCAACCAACCAAACACAAAATTAAATAACGATTTATTGGATGAAAACAGATGTTGAAATTGCAATATACCCAAGAACCCTTCTTATATGCAACGTGATGAACATTGAAAATTTAACTCGTCAAATAAATTAATTCTTTACTTGATTAGAAAAATTACTTCCAAATTTGAAAATTATGCCCCAAGTTTCTAGAAATTTTATTTTAGGCGTCAAGTTCACGGTCGACGAATGGAAGCTTGCGGCACTCCTGAACCGAGGAGAGGCTTGCTTGATCCTCACATGCATGTTGAAATCTATTTCTCAAACGACATGCTTAGACGTGGCCAGGGACAAAAACTGGCAATGCTTGGCGACTTTTTTTTAGCTTATCAGACAGTTTTGTGCCAATTTTTCCATTTAAAACGGTGTGTTCATGGCTCTCCGCCCTAAATCTGCTACTGAAAAGATCATCTCCTACTTGTTGAGTCATGAAGAAATGTTTATTAAACATTTCACATATTTTGCTCTTGTCATGGATTTTTTGATCGTTGTTTTTTAAAATTTTGTCAGAATTATTTTTTTAGCAGGCAAAAAAACTTTTATTTAGGATTCCAATTTTTTAAAATGTTATTTTGATTTTTCTATGTACGTAATTATTTTCAGCAATTCTGCACAGCTTTGTAAACATGTTTTTATAAGTTGTGTAAATTTGCCTGTTTATTGTGAGCGATATATATATATATATATTTTTTTTAGTTTTTATTAATAGTTCAAAACATATTTCGAAAAACATTTTGTGTAAAAGTTATATAATAAAAAGTTTGGCACTCAAACGAATGAAATATAATTTGAAACCTGGAGGACAAAATAAAATTATTCCAAATTACCATACTTAATTCATCACTCCACTTCCTTCGTAAATAACGAAATATGTTATGAACTATTTATAAAAACTATAAAAATACAATTTTAAAATGATCATCATCATCATCATCATCATCACCATTCATGTGTGAATAAATCTGTTGTACATTTGGAGATATATTTATGTGATTTATTTTTATGTGATGTAATTGTAACTGAATTTATTATCATATTTATTAATAGTCTGTATGATTATTATGATTGTACTTATGATGATCTAGGTTCATTATTTATTATATTTGTCAGAGGAAGTTCATTTAAACACCAATTGTTTGTTATTCACCGACGATTTAATATTTAATCAAACAATATTTTAAAGATAACTTTACGATATTTTTTGAATTCGTCATGAACTTGTTAAATGAAATTTTATTTGTGGAAATAAATAACCTTACCAGCACATGTGATGCTTCAACTTTTTTGGTTAAATTCAAATGAAAATGTGACGTTATAGACTTACGGTTGTTAAGTTATAGGCTAATTAAATTTAGTGAAAATTAAATTTTACTAAAGAAGAGAATTTCCTTTGAAGGATCATTCATAGTAACGCTATAATCCAGACGATGTTTTGTTTTGTCTGAATAAAGATTTAATTATGTAATTGTTGTATATGTAATTTAATTATTATTATGTAATAATGCATTATGTTAATTACGCTATTCTTGATTATGTTTTTATTGTTTCCATGACTCTAACGTTAAAAATTTTGTTGTTGTGTTAATTAGCACAATTCAGTTAGGTATTGATGTTGCATTGTTAATCTATTTATGTGTTATTAAGCCTGATTCAAATGAAGTTATTCCCAAATAGATAAAATATTATTATTATTCAACTCATTAAAAAATAAACTTTCTGCCATTTTCACAGCGCTATACGATTTATTATGAATGATCTCTTGGTGCATAGCCATTCATTTATCATGACGACGTTGCAAAGATGGCTGAAAATTAATGACAGGTAAAAAATTGTTTGGTCTTTGCGTTTCTTTTTCTGTAAATAATCTCCAAGCCTAAAATAATAGTTGATAATACAAGTTGCACGCCATTGTTGGAATTGAGTTTTATATCGATAATCGTCCCTCGAAGTTTGAAGCAGGTCACCTCAGTCCCATCAAGGTCTCAACGAGGCTTCCCATAAACTGTTTTGCTACTACTTCAACATTCGCTCACATCTCATTACCATTTCAGCAATTATTCTGATATTTGCAGTATTTTGATAACTATTAATAAACAGTGGGGCGGGTATATGAATTTGCAACAATTTTCACGCATTAATTAACTTGCATGGATATATATATATATATATATATATATATATATATATATATATATATATATGTTTCCATGTTAACTTGTGAATGACGGGTAGTTGACAGCCATCTCTTTTTTGTTGCAACTCCTTTTTGTCCATTTTTAAACACGTTAGAATGCAATTTAATCTACATGAGGACGTTATTAAAATGGTCCGATTAAGCGAATTAGCCAAAGTTGAGTTTTAAAAAAATATTAAATGTTATTTTAAAACAAAAATTTAATGTAATAGTGGTTATTGTTTAGCAGATAAATGAGTCGAACAAACAAAACGTTTAAAGAATCTATTATAATAAAATTAAGTTGCTAAAATATAATTCTTTCTCAGTACAACTGTAACTATACAAAATTAACTTTAAATTATATTCCAATTTTAATGAGCTCAACAGCTTATTAACGATGATGATATTTTATTCAAATTTATTACTTTAATTCAATGAGATCATCTTTTCAAAATAGAATTGTACATAATGCTTTACCTTTCTTTTCCAGGCATGCACAATTGGAATACAGAATAATATTGAAATTCATATATATACCATCATATCATTTTTTAAAGTAAGTTCCGTCATATTTGGAGCTTTATTGTTTTAAAATTTGAGTCATATTTAATAACATCAAGTTTACAAAAATTTGATTCCGTTTTTAAAAATTTGGTTCATTTATCCGGCATCTAGTGTATCGTTAGTATTTTTGGTTATTTATTTACATGGGAGGTTGTAAAAATGCAACTCTTCTAGAAACACTTTTGGGTAAATATTTTTCACTCGTCAGAGGACAAATAAACAGTAGATGCTGATTGAGTCAAAAATACTTCGTTTTGTTTTTTGTTTCAAATTTCTACACGGCAAGTTTTTGACATTAGCGCCGATTCCAGACTTAGAAATGCTTTAGGAAATACTGGAACGTTGGAAATACTTCAAGAAAGACATGTTAATATTTTACATTTTTCATCCAAAGTGTTTAACAACAGCATCCAAAAACATTTAACCATGGCATCCAAAGTGTTTAACATTGATATCAAAATATTCATAATAGGTACAAAACGAATTAAACATCAGTTTTTTAATTAGTTTGTATTCTCCTTAAACTGTTAACTAAAACTGTAATAAATTTTTAAAATGACAATTCTTTTTTCTTGCCAGTTTTGTCTCTGCATCCCTTGAGTCTCTCCTCGTATTCCAATTAGTTTCAAATTTAGTAGCCTATACTGAAACGTTTTAAATAAAAAGAAACCAGATTTCGGCAAAATAACTTAAGTGTGTCATCATTCAAGATTTTTACCGTTTTATTATGCTAAGATGTTTTTTTATGTATCATTGTCTTTTCAATAATTCCAATAAAAATAATTTTCAATAATTTTCAATAATTCCATTTCTAGCATTTCGCTACTTATTCGCTGAGGTCTTTTGCCACTGTCTTAAAGGTATACAGTTTAGCTGAGTAATATATACATTATACAACCAGGTTGTTTTCTTCCATCGAGAACCTTGACGAACCCAAAGATAACAAAATGTCAAATTATTAACGCACATATTAAAACTGACAACATGAAAAAGCATTCGAAAAAGTTTTATGAATTTTTTAAAACTTGCTAAATTTAACTTGTTCAACTTACTGTCAAAACGATGTTTTAATTAATGCATTAGTTTTCATTGTCATTCATAAAAGTTAACAAATATATTGAAACTTGACCATGCGGATCTTCGTGACGTAACTTTAAGTGCATGCTCCTTCCGGCAAAATATTCAAGTTAAGTTTATATGGATTTGTTGTCATTTAATGTTTACAATATGGTTAATCATAAAAAATGTTTGACGAAACTATGTTTTAGCTGAATGTTTGTTTTTTTAGAAACTAATAATAGATTTGTGTCGCTATAGAAATAGTAAAATTTGTGTTATTAACTTGAAGGACAAAACGAAATAATGAACACAGCATTTCATTTGCAGCTGTACCACGCATGCCTTGATGGGCATCTTAACATCAAAATAATCGCATCTTCAAGTTGCTCCAGTTTGAATGCGTATTAGACAGTGATGGGTTAACTACTCCAAAAAATTAGTGAACTAATGTAGTTAACTAATTGACTAAAAACATAGTTAGTAACTACTTTTAAGAAAAGTAGTTAACTGTTATTTCTTGCTGTCATAACTTGTTAATTAATTTGCATATGGTGTGTATTTGGAATGATGTTTGAATGTTTATTTGTTTGTACGTGTATGTAACTTTGTATGTAGGTTGATAGTCATTAACTCTAAAAAATACCGGGGATTTTTTTTCAGATACCAACAGACGATTTTTCTTTTTTCATTCAAAAAATCGCGATAAACTCGAAAACGACTGAGCAGATTTTGATTCATGTTATACTGGTACTAAAATTTCAGAGTCCCGCTCGAATTACTTTTGATAATTGACAACGTATCAACAAAAACATTTTTTGCTATTGCTACCGACAGACTTTAATTCATTCTTCATTCCAAGCAGCGGCACATCGATAGCTAATTTCCAGATTCTTGTTCCGTTTCCGTATGACGTCAAGAAGTTGAAATATACAATTGTTTTAGTAAAAATCTTTGCTGTTTTATTTATTTCCAAGATTATCACGGTTTTTAATTTGGCATATGATGCGGCGACTTTACAAAAGCATAAAAATGTTGACAATTTTTTAAAAATCGTTTTTAATTTTTGAATGTCATAAATGTTATCTGAGACAGAAACGAATAAAATAAATAAAGAATCGAAATCGGTTCAGCCGTTTCGAGTTTATCACGTCCATTATTTGAATATATAGATTTTAAAGTAAAATGTTTCCTTCAGAGGTATTTTTTAAATAAAGTAGGGTGAAAATTATTTTTTATAATTTAAATTGTGGCGAAAATCTTAAAATTTGGTTTTTATTTTAAAACCAAATTCCATAAAAAACCAACTATCAAATGTTTCATCGGATTTATATTTAGGAAAAACTCGACTTTCTTGAAGCAATAGGCGCACGAACGGAAATAATAAACCAAAATAGCCTCCACTGTGTTGCTCTCTAATGAAATTTACATGTTGAACAACAACTAATATGAAATCGTTTTACTTTTTGAGATGCTTCTAGCATAATTTTCAATATGAACAATATATTTCGAGTATTTTTAATTTGAAG